CGGAGCAGCGCCCCGAGCACCCAGCGCGTCCCGGCCATGGACCCCGGAGGCGGCGTGGGGCCTGTAGGCGGCTGCGACTGCAGCGCGAGCGGAGGGGAAGTGGAATCCAGGGCCGGGGTCGGGGCACCAGGCACATGCGCCACCGGCACCCGGGGCGGCAACGAGGCGGGAGGAGGTGGAGAAGACAGCGGGACTCCGCCCGGTCTCCGCCCTCGGGGCGGGGCTGCCCGCGGGCCGGGTGCGGGGGCGGTGGAGCCTTCGCATGACCCTCCCCCACTCTTTCTCTCGGTGGAAACTGAGGCCGGGAGGATGAGGCAACGGCCTTCCTGCTTTGGAGACAGCCCAGACCCGGAACGCGGGTCTACCGACGCCCGGTACTCTCCCTGCGAAACGCGTGACGCGAGGAGCAAAACGTCTGTTTCTGGAAGGAATTGTGATGCTCTGCTTATAAAAAGAGGTTTAGTAGCTCCCAAACTTGAGATATGTGAGGAAGTCCAACTTTCTTTTAGAATGAAACAAGTAGATACTTTTATGCTGATTATGTATGTATATAACAGAGATAAAGCCTCCCTTAATAAGTTAGTGTATTCACAAGTGGACAGTTAGAGGTTGGCAAAAGAAATGGTTGTGCAGTTTTCCTCCCGTGGCCAGGACTATCAGATTATCAGGTAAAGAAGTAATGATAGTGAAAAATAGAAAAAGCTAAAGTTTAAAACTTTTTATTATGGAAATTATCAAAAGTATGATAGAGTTACAGAATAGAGAAAATGTAAACATTAAATGTAAACATTTCATGGTCCATAAATCTGAATAGGTTAGAAACTTAAATACGTAGAATGCAAAGCTTGCAAATCATAATCAGGCTTAACACCTAAGTATTAAAATGGAAGGTTTTTAAAGTATACCTGACAATTTTATATTAGTTTCAGGTGTACTTCAGTGATTCAACATTTATATACCTACAATGGGATCACCATGAGAAAGTATAGTACTGTGTCACCAAACAAAGTTAAAACATGGAAAGCTTTAATTTTTACTCAGAGGAGATTGGGAGAATATAAGAAAGAAGAGAAACTAACCTTGAAAAATTATTCATCGAACAAACATATTAAATGCTTTTGCGTTCTAGGCACTGTGCTATGTCCTGTGCATTCAAGGATATATAATAGGATTACAGACTAAATATCAAATAATGTTTAGACATATGTCTAGATTATATGTAGAGAGAATAGCAAGTTATGTAAATTAAAACTAATGACTATGGGACACTAGGTTTTAAAATTTGTGTTAATAAATATTTTAAACCCAAGTAACTGTAACTAGTGCTCTTTAGCACTAAATTTTTATTATGGAAATAAAAAGACTCTCTTGGACCAAAAAAAAATACATTAAGAGACTTTTTGACTAGAGTGTGACAATGGAGATGAAAAAAAGAGGGAAGATTTGAGAGATTTTTTTTAGGAGGTAGAATCAACAGGATTGGAAGCTAGGTTAGAGAGGAGGATAGTGTGTTCTGTTACTGTTATTTGGAGTTGGAAGGGGTAGATGGGGATAAATTTTCATCCCTGGGAAAGT